TGCCCGCTCCCCCTTGGCCGGGGCTTGGGTCCTGGGACGGCCGGGGGGCCAGCGGGAGCTCAATCAGGGGGGGGGGGCCCCCCCCGGGCCGGGAGGGGTACGCGGCCCACGCGGGGGCTGGGTCCGAAGGGGGGGCGGGGCCCCTTTCCGGGTGGAGCAGGGGGAGGCCTGTCCCCAGGGGGAGGGGGGAACCCGGGGGGGGGCTCAGAGCGGCCCCAAGTATTCCCCCCCCCCCTCTCTCGGTTTGTCGGTGGGCCCATTTTTGCCCTATTTCCATCCCCCCCCCCCCCCTTTCCACCCCTTCCCTACCCCCCCCTCCTTACCCCCCCCCCCCCCCGCCCCCTCGAGCAAGGGTGCGCACCGGCAGCGCTCGGCGTCAGCCGCAGCAAAACGCGCCACGCTCGCACCCTCGACTCCTCCCCCTCCTCCGCGCCGCGAGATTGCAATCTCGACCCGTCGAGATCGAGCTCGAGCGCGCGTGCGAGCGAGAGCGGCGCGCCGCCCGCCGCGCCCGCCGCCGCCAGCCGCCACGCCTCGGCGAGCACCTGCCTCGGGAGAGTGCGACTAGTCCTCCCCTAGCTGATGAGCTGGTGAAGGGAAGGGCGGCACCCTAGCCGACTGGCTGATTGGCTGATAAGTGCGGGCGCCCTAGCCGACTAGCTGGTGAAGGGAAGTGCGGGCGCCCTAGCTGATGAGCTGGTGAAGGGAAGTGCGGCACCCTAGCCGACTAGCTGATTGGCTGATAAGTGCGGGCGCCTCGGCGGGCATAGCCCCACAGGGGAGTTCATTCTCAACCAGCTCGGGTGAGTGTTCATCCAAGGGAGGAGGCGCGCGCCTCGCTCTTGGCGGCCGGAGAGGAGCGGCAGTAGTGCAGCAGCGGCGCCACGAGCCGCGACACCGCCGCCGCAGCGGCGAAAGCGGCGGCGGAGGCGGTCTCGGAGGCGGGCGGCGGCGGCGGCGGCGGCTGCGCGGAGAGCTGGGAGTAGAGCTGGGAGGGCGCGATCTGGGACGGCTGCGACTCGTCCTCAGAGGTGTACCTGTTCACAGCGGCCGGCATGATTTCTTTTTCCGAGGGCGGCGGCGGCCCCCCTCCATCGGCCGCGGAACCTGTTCACAGCGGCCGCCTGTGAAGAGGCGCCGTTCACAGCCGCGTCGGGCGGGCGCTGTGAGGGAAGCCGCGCCCAGCGCCGAGGCCGGCGCCCCCGCCGCCCGCCTCGAGACCTCGCGAGGCAGCCGAGCTCCTCCTGTTCACAGCTGGTGCGCTGTGAAGAGACGCCACGCCCCCCTCCCAAGCCTCGAGACCTCGCGAGACGAGCTCCTCCTCCGGCGCGCCGGCGCGCCGAGGAGCGGAGGACACAGCTCGGAGGCAAAGAAGGGCAGCCTGTTCACAGCTTGGGGGTGTGAAGAGACGCCGTCCACACGGGGTAGAGCTCGGCGGGCAGGAAGAAGGGCGGCCCCAGCCATGGCCGGGCGTGGAGGGCGGCGAGGGCGGAGGAGAGGGCGGCGCGGCGGAGGGGTGGGTGGTGGAGGAGGAGCGAAGCGGCGGCGGGCGGAGAGAGAGGCAGCGCCCCTCGCTGCTGCCATTCGAGCGCCGCAGAGGCGAAGCGGTAGCTCAAGCGAGGCGCCTGTTCACGGCTGGACCCGTGAAGAGACGCTGTTCACAGCCGTGAGGAGCGCGGCTCAAAGCGAGGCGCCTATTAACCATTACTAACGCTTGATGGACTCATGATTAATTATCAATAGCTGCTGCTCGAGCGAGGCGCCTATGAATCATTGCTAACGCTTGATGATCTCATTACCAATTAATTATTAATAGCTGCTGCTCGAGCGAGGGCGCCGCGTGAGTGCAGAGTCGGCGCAGCAGCGGCAACAGAGGCGCGACCCCAGCCTTCTCCGAACCCGCCTCCTCTCCCTCCCCCACCCCTCCCCCCCCGCCCTCCCCGCCCGCCCCCTCCCCCCCCGCCCCCTCCACCCCCGACCCCTCAACATCCGTAGCGCCCATCGCCAGCAAAATCAGCCGCTCGCACCGCCGCACCGCACCTGCCTCCCCTCCCCCACCCGCCTCCCCCTCCCCCGCCCTCGCCGCAGCCGTCGCGGCCATAGCCGCCTCCGCCTCCGCCGCCGCCTCCTCCTCCTCCTCCGCCTCCTCGCCTGCCAAACATGGTGAGGGGACATGTCAGAGACATTTCAGAGACACGTCCAAGAAGTGTCCAAATGTCCGAGATGTGTCCGAGATGTGTCCGAGATGGTCCGGGATGTGTCCAGATGAGTCCTGCAGCCACGTCCGCAGCAACCGCAGCCGCAGCTGCGTCGAGCGTGTCCTGCAGCAGCAGCGCCGCCGCCTATCGAAGTACTTCAGCTCAGTATGCCGCAAGTAGTTAGCGCCGCCTGTCCTCAGCGCCGCCGCCTATCAGCTGAGCACTTCATTGACCAATTGTTGCAGCCCGTCCGACGTGGCATGCAAGTGCAGCGCCGCCGCCTGAAGCCACGAGTCACATGGCATGTGGACGCATGAATGCATTGATACGGCGTGTCATCAGTGCAGCGCCGTCGCCTGAAGCCACGAGGCATAGAGGGACACGCATGAATGCAGTACTGGGTCAAGAATGCGGTTGCAAGTGCAGCGCCGCCGCCTGGTCGCTGCTGCGGAGGTCGATGGCGGTGAGCAGCTCGTCTGACCCTTGCGGGTCCTCCAGCACCTGGTGGTGTGAACAGCGTCTCTTCACACCTCCAGCTATGAACAGTGCCTTGCGGTTCCTCCACCACCTAATGACTCGCTATCAATTAATTACTGATTACTCATTGATTACTGACGTGCGGGTCCTCCGCCACCTGGTCGTGCGTCACCGCACAGGGCCAAGGTGGTCGGGGCCACGGTCAAGGGCTAATTATTGAGGCCTGGGCCACGGCGAGGCGAGGGGAGGGAGGGCCGGGGGCCACCGGGACCGGGGCCAGCAGCAAGGCGCGAGAGGCGCGGGGCCGATCTGGCGCACCTTGCCGCCCGCAAAGTAGCGCACAAAGTCGGCGCACCACTCCTCGGCCTTGCGGCAGCGGGACGCCGTCTCAGCGGAGGCGACGCCCTCGAGAGCCCACCCGCCCTCTGCCGACCACGCAGCGCCCTCCGCTGCCTCTGCCGCCGCCGCCGCCTCCGCCGTCGCTGCCGCATCGCCGAAGCGACGCGCCGCGCGCATCGCCGAGCGGAGCAGCAGCTCGCCCGCGGGAGAGAGCACCACCACCGGGTTGTTGCTGAGCAGTCGCAGCAGCCGGCGGTAGTGAGGGAACCAGATGAGTAGGTCGGCCAGGTCGGAGGCGCTCATGTGGCGCAGGCCGGCCCGCAGGAGGGCGCACAGCGGCGGCAGCGGTGGCGGCGGGCCGCACGGTGAAAGGGGCGACCAGGTTGCTGCGGAGCGGGTCCACTCGTCGAGGGAGAGGAGGTCTAGCGCGGGAGCGACCATTGTATCGCTGAAAAGAGAAAAACGCCGCGCGCCGTGCTCGACCTATGCTCGAATGGGGCGAGTCGCCGCTCGACCTGGAGGAGATTTTGACGCGTGGGAGCTCCACGGGGATGGAAACAGCAAAAGGAGTGTGTGTCTCGCGCCTTGCGGGGGGGGGGGGGCGGAAAGGAGGAACCTCTTCCCAAGAGCACCACTCTTGGAGCGCCGCCACTACCACCCAGAGCGCTGCAAGCAGCGCCGGGCAATGACGGCTTACCGCCCACCCAGCCCCCCCTCGGCACACCCCGGCAGCCAATGTGTGACGGCTCGAACCCGCTAAGCCATCCCGCAAGCGGGATAGCCCGCCACTCGAACCCGCAAGCGGGCGTACGAACCGCGAGCGGCTCGCACTCGTGACACGCAGGCGTCCGACAGACGGCGCCGGGGCTAGGCGACCGAAGAGGAACTACGGCAAGAACCGCACACCACCCGCTGACGAGCGCTCGCGGAACTGGTCCGCGGCGCCCGCCAGGGGCGTGCGCGAGACAGGGCTCGGAGCCCTTTTCTGTGAGCAGGGATTCCCTCCCGGCGGGGGTTGTGGCGGAGAGCCGGCATGGGAATCGCCGGCCCCCACCTAAAGGATGCCGCAGGTCGCACCTCATATACTGTGTGCAACCTCGCCGTGAGAACACGTGGAGAAGTTTACCTTACCTTACCTTACCTAGAACACGTGTGTTACAGACAGGGGCTGGGACAAGGAGAGAAACAGGGCGATGCTTAGAGAAACAGCTGCTCGCATACCTCGGCGCGATCGCACATGTACGCAACTCTAAACATGACAATGCCTATGCTCGAACGGGGCGAGTCGCCGCTCGACCTGGAGCCTGCGAGCAGGTCTGTTGCCTCCCGGGAGCTCCGCGGCGATGGAAGCAGCAAAAGGAGAGAAACACCAACTGGGAGCGCAAGTACGCACCTTAAGCGCAACTCTAAACATGACCGTACCATTCTATTCAAGGTCACGTAATCTTACGCTCTATCGCACTGTCTGTGCGCTCGAACGTCGAGCGAGCTGCCGGCCCGGCCGCGCGAGACTTAGAGCTCGGAGCATGTCTGTTGGCCGTCTGTGCCCAGGAGCGCAGAATTCCGGCGCTCAGCGCACTCCCCGAGTCGCCATCGCACGAATGCACTACGCTTGAGGACCTCTGCTCTCTCTGAGGACCTCTCGGATGAGGACCTCTTCGTCACTCTGCGGCGCGCTTCCTCATCTCAAAGTCAGAGCAGGCGTCGAGGAGCGCGCGGGAGCGACGGAGCGACCATCGTTTGCCTGCGCAATCCAAAAGGAGAAAAACAAAATCCCGGCGACAGTCTTCTTGCAATCTTGGCTCCCTGGCCCTGGATGTCAGTGAGGTTGATGACCGCACTCGCAAGTGCTCCGATTGCGCAGCTGCTTCTCACGGTTCTGGATGCAAATACGCAAATTACACAAAACCCAGAAACAAATACGCAAATTACACAAAACCGTCTAGAGTAATCTGCTATGTAATCTCATGCTCGAACGATGGGGCGAGTGCCAGTCGCCGCGCGACCTGGAGCCCGCGAGCATGTCTGTTGGCTCCCGCCTAGGCTCCCGCCGTCCGGTGTGCAAGCCCAGGGCAGAGCCAGAGGCCGCCGACACACGATGCATTGCGCTTGAGGACCTCTGTGAGATGAGCATGAGGAGGAGGACCTCTGTGCCTTTGAGGACCTCTCGGACGTGAGGACCTCTTCGTCTGCGGCGCGCTCCCTCTTAGGGGCTCAGCTTAACCCTGCATCCGTCGGAGGAGAGTTGCCTAGCTAGCACCTACCATTCCCTCCCTCCCAGGGAGAGAGTAGAAGGCAGCTAGGTGGATGGAAATTGAACGTGCCAGTTAGTTGGAGCGTCAGTCAGGCCAGCTGAATCCGAATCGTATACATAAAAACAATCTTTTTCTGCTTCTAGCGGGTTTGGTGCGGATGGTCAGCACTTGAGGTTGGCCAACTGGACCTGCTCACAACGCGTTTGTCGTTGGTAAAGACGGTGTTTACTTGACAGGGAGCTAGGGCTGGAGTCCAGCGCCTGCACTGCCGCCGGAAAGTTGTACACGCCGGGCGAGAGGCGGAGCGTTTTCTCCCCGCTGCCGTCCCACGCGTCTGGGTGTGAGACGGAGGGTAGGCCACCCGTCTCAGCCTAAGGGAAGGGTCCGAGAAGGCTCGAGCACGATCCAGGGAAAACTGAGGAAAGGCCTCGCGTCTCTGCCGGCGACTCGCTTACAGACACGCCGAGGAAGGCGGCCGCTTCCGCCGCCGTCTCGCCCAGAGCGTTGGTGAGGGCCGCTGCGAGCGAGGTCGCCGACGACTCGTCGCCGGCTTGCAAGGTGACCAAGACGGCGTGCTCCTCGAGACGGCGGAGGCGGCGTCGGCCGTCGCCGCCGCAGGAGACGTCGCACTGGCTCGGGAGGAGGCCAGAGAGGCTGCTGACGGAGGCGCACACTGTTGCAGTGAAGGCGGCGCTACACTCATCAGCCGTTTTGAAGGAGAATCCGACCGCGTACGACTCGTCCTCCTCGCCGCCCGAGCCGTGCTCGCCATCGCCGTCCCCGGAGCCGCCCTCGTCGGCGCCGCCCGAGCCAGAGTCCTCCTCCCCAGAGCCCGACTCCTCCCCAGAGCCCGCCTCGTCGCCCTCGCCCGAGCCAAAGTCGCCGTCGCCCGAGTCGTCGCCGTCCCCGGAGCCAATGTCACCAGCCTCGTCCCCCTCGCCCGACCCAAAGTCGCCGATCTCGTCGCCAGAGAACTCAGGGCTATCCTCGAGCCGCCTCTCCACCGCAGGCTCTACCGCCGTCTGCGCGGGCGGAGGGGGAGCTGCCCGCCCTCGGGCTGTAGCTCCTCGGGAGGTGAAGCTAAAGCCTGGAAAGGACGCGTAGAAGCT